TACTTCGAAGTACATTTGCATTTTGGTATGTCCAGTTTGCACATCAGTTTAGATGGGTAAATTACACCAGTCGTATTCTTTATAACGGCTTTCAGTAAGTTTATCCTCCCCGTCTGTCTATAGGTATACACATACATTTGTCCATCTGTTTTCTTCTCCATGCGAGAAGTCAAGAAATCAAGAAGTCGGCAGGAATAGTTTGAGGTCCCATGTAGGGAGCAACACACAATTCCCCAAGTATCGCTGAAATCGCACCAACCCATTCTTCACATTGTGTTCCCCAGCGCGGGCTTGCGAATTAGATGGTTTGGAGGCAACAACGTTGTGAATGGCCAACGGTCCTCACCGCTTGTTCGGCACCTCCAAGAGTGACACCGACTCTCGCTGCCATCTGGTGTTCACGAGGTGTCTGTCACGCTGGAAACGGATTGTCTCTGTAAGTTTGCTTCCCTTGTGATGTTTGTGCCTGAAGAACATTATAAGTGGTGCTCTTCAGGCACAATCTTCCTCAGCCTACTCAAGCTCAACTGATGAGGGGTGGATTCCCGAAACACTGTGTATTGAGCAGAGAGTGGTGCTTTCCTGCAGTTTTGCCGAGTGGATGGTTCGATGGACTTCTCGTGTGCTCTGGATTGCAGTCGTGAGTCAGCCAAGTGAAAATTCAAGTCGGCAGGAATAGCGCGAGCTCCCATGTAGGGAGCAACACACAATTCCCGAAATACAGACAGCCGCCCTATTTATCACCGAAAATTTGATCATCGGCGTATAAGGCCGCAACCACACTACGTAAAAATCACAGTACAAATGTTCATGTATATCTCAGTGCAAGTCGATACGCAACCACACTACACTTTTCGGTCTGCATAGATGACGTTTTCACGCGACCAGCACGTGACGTTGTCGTACCAAAGCGTGTGCCATGCGCTGGAAACGACCGGGAAATTCAAAAACAATACTGGTGCTGATGCTATGTACGATGACCCGGTACAAAAAGCAAAGTTGTACACAGAAGGAGCACGAAAACGACGAAAACGACGAACGTGGCTTTCTACAGGGGTGCGCCAGTTGCTGAAAACCTACAAAGCGCATTTTGCATTTCGCACGCGTCGGCATGACGATTTCTACTGTAATGCCGTTTGTACGTGATTTTGTACCTAGTGTGGTTGCAGCCTTAGTCACACCCCAAAATACAGAATGTACAAGAGTCTAGGTACAGTTGAGTCACCGTGTATACCGTATACCATACAGTTGAGTCATCGTGTATACCGTATACCATACAGTTGAGTCATCGTGTATACCGTATACCATACAGTTGAGTCATCGTGTATACCGTATACCATACAGTTGAGTCATCGTGTATACCGTACACCATACAGTTGAGTCATCGTGTATACCGTATACCATACAGTTGAGTCATCGTGTATACCGTATACCATACAGTTGAGTCATCGTGTATACCGTACACCATACAGTTGAGTCATCGTGTATACCGTATACCATACAGTTGAGTCATCGTGTATACCGTACACCATACAGTTGAGTCATCGTGTATACCGTATACCATACAGTTGAGTCATCGTGTATACCGTATACCATACAGTTGAGTCATCGTGTATACCGTATACCATACAGTTGAGTCATCGTGTATACCGTATACCATACAGTTGAGTCATCGTGTATACCGTGCATTGGTATGCTGTGCTTGGTGAAATGCTAGCCTATTCGTACATTGGCACCCGTCAAAACTCTGCTAGTAATCGGTTCTAGCTGCACGCACTATACTCTGTTGTCAGAAGGGATCCAGTTTGAACCAGAAGTCGTTATTTATTGACTTCTGATATCATTAATAATATGTTTAAATCCTCGTATCCTTTCGTCTGTCCTTTCAACACCAGCCTTGTGTGTGTGTGTGTGTGTGTGTTTTGTCGGTGTGTGTGTGAGTGCGTGTTTGTCCCGTGTGTGTGTGTGTGTTTGTCCGTGTGTGTGTATGTGTATGTTTGTCGGTGTGTGTGAGTGCGTGTTTGTCCGTGTGCGTGTGTGTGTGTGTGTCGGTGTGTGTGTGTGTGTGTGTGTGTATGTATGTATGTATGTGTATGTGTGTATGTGTGTTGGTGTGTGTGTGTGTGTATGTGTGTGTGTGTGTGTGTGTGTATGTGTGTGTTGGTGTGTGTATGTATGTGTTGGTGTGTGTATGTATGTGTTGGTGTGTGTATGTGTGTGTTGGTGTGTGTATGTGTGTGTTGGTGTGTGTTGGTGTGTGTATGTGTGTGTTGGTGTGTGTATGTCTTTGCGGACTTTGGTTTTATCTGCTACCTCGTCCAGATAGGCCGACATCCTACGAACCCGGAGAGAGGAGATGCGCCCCTCTAACTTCCGGCCACGATTCCCCTTCAGGATGGAACTCACACATTGCTGCAGATGGAAGGACTCCAGCCGCCGAACATCACGCTGCCTGAAGGTCCAACTTTCCGGAGGCATGGGTTCGAATCCCACCGCTGCCGTAAGTGTTAGCTCCCGGCTGAATATGAAGTCCCGTCACACTCGTAGAACACAAGGTGTTATAGTTTCACAAGTATTGAATATCGAAGAAGTAGAAGACATACAGATTTAGAGAAAGGGGACGAGAGAGAGAGAATAGAGAACCACTGAAGCATGCACTCTTTTGTACTTGATGGCATCTCGTTGCTTTGGTGAAGGAGCGGGAAATACGAATAGTGATTACCGAAGGAGCAGAAATTTTCGGTGGTGTAATTTTTTCCATATTCTCCAAAATCGGCAGTTCGGTGGAGGGAGCGCCAGTATGAGAAATTTTGGCTCCAGTATGACCAAATTTTCGGTAAACTCTTTTTCCAGGTAAGTATACTAACAGTTAGTACTAGTACCGAAATTTTCGGTTGCGTTCCATTTTACGTAAAAATTGTCGTCGCCTTAGTTCCGGAAAATGTAACACCACCGAAAATGTCTGCTTTTGCAGTATGTATGTATAGTACTGTCTTTGAGTGTGAATACACCAGTTACACATGTATCAAAGAAGTGCGCTGTCTATACTGGTTACCCCAGTATGTATAGTACTGTCTTTGAGTGTGAATACACCAGTTACACATGTATCAAAGAAGTGTGCTGTCTATACGGGTTACCCCAGTATGTGTAGGCTGTGCATAGGTAACTTCCTTTGCCTGTCTTATTCCCATGTGCTCCGTGTGGTGTAGACCAGGTGTGCATAGGTAACTTCCTTTGCCTGTCTTATTCCCATGTGCTCCGTGTGGTGTAGACCAGGTGTGCATAGGTAACTTCCTTTGCCTGTCTTATTCCCATGTGCTCCGTGTGGTGTAGACCAGGTGTGCATAGGTAACTTCCTTTGCCTGTCTTATTCCCATGTGCTCCGTGTGGTGTAGCCCAGGTGTGCATAGATAACTTCCTTTGCCTGTCTTATTCCCGTGTGCTCCGGGTGGTGTAGACCAGATGTGCATTGCAGGTCGATTCACATGGCTTCGCCAGTTGTGTAGCGGATTAGGCAGTCATCTAGCACTTGCCGTGATCTGTCTCATTTAGATCGTGTATCTATTGTGGAGAGAAAATCTGTGGGTGTATGTACATCAAGTTCATTTGCAGATTTATGTACTTCTCTTGCAACAGGTGTATATGATGCCTGGTGTGTGTGAGAAAGAGTATAATGCGTGTATGAATGTATGTGTTCGTGTGTGCGTGCGTGAAAGAGTGACTCTGAGATTAGCACCATCAACTTGATCATGAATGCTTGCGATCCAGTTTCTTATCAACATGAGAACATAGATATCCGAGCTAGTCTCAGCAGCAAAACTCCTCCCAGTAAGGCCACGCCGTTTTTTTCTATGTTTCGCGTCACCTTATTCGATGAAATCAATGAGGGAGGGCGAAAAAAATAAAAAAGCCATCCAAAAAAAAAAGTGTACGTGCATTGCATTTGTGTACAGTGAAGCGACGCGGCACTGTTCATGTACAGACATGTACAATGGACGTGTACATGAATACTGTAAATATACAAAATTTCGGCGCTGCAAAATTTCGGCACTTCACGATTTTTGGCATTTCGGCGGCGATTTATTTTCGGCGTGATGTAGAGGGCATAGTATAGTGCGACAGATGCTGTGAAAAATTTCATCTGCGTTTTAATTTAAGCGGGATTCACAGAAGCTTTTTTGCGATGCGACACGCGATGCGACGCGATCTGCGACGGACGCGTGCGATGCGAACTCGCGAAATACCATTCACAGAAGAAGTCAGCGATGCGACAAATTTTTGCAAAGTCTTGCTGATTTGAGTACGTCATCATGATATTTGCGCGGTTTTGTACAACCTGTACAAATTTATAGGCAACTCTTGCACCTTTGTACAACTTTGCTGTAGAAAAGGTCAAAATCGTACGCCAAATCGCTTGTCGCATCGCATCGCATCGCAAAAGTTGAGCCAAGCTCAACTTCTGCGATGGCCCAGTTGCGGCAGTTGCGTGGAGTGCGACATGGCTGCGATTTGGGGTTTTCCCGGTTTCGCGCCTGTCGCATCGCGTGTCGCATCGCAAAAAAGCTTCTGTGAATCCCGCTTTAGGCGTTTTGGGTCGGTGCCGAATATAGCCGAAATTAAATAGCTGCCGAAAATTTGTATATTTACAGTACAAACAATAGGAGGACAGAGGAAGTGTTTTTACTCAGAGTTTCACGCACTAAGCGATCATCAGAAAACAGTAATTGGAAATCTGGATCAGTTTTTTCTACCTGAAAGGACCGACAACCGACGATCCAAAAGAAACCTATGGCCTCAAATCCCAGAAATGCCCGCCCCAAGTCGACGAACTGAAGGCGTTCGAGGACGATGCGTTAAAAATGATTGAGATGATTGAGTTTCGTAGAGTCGCTGATCCCTTTCAGCAACGACTCCGAAGCGACATCCAGAAAATCAGAGCATCACCGGACATCATCGTGCCAGCTGACAAGACCAGAAACCTCTACGAAGTCAACAAAGAGCAGTACACAAAACTGCTGAGCAACAACATCACCAAGCATTACAAACCTACACCGGCAGAGACTTACGACCAGATCAACTCGGAAGCTCAGACAATTGCTGCGACGCTGGAGCTGGACGACAGAATGGATGCAATGGCGAAGAAGGACGCATACATCACGCTGAAGGATCATAAAGACAACTTTTCCCGGTCCCTGCCATGCCGGCTCATTAATCCCTCAAAGAGTGAAATCGGCATAGTCTCGAAGTCTATACTGGATACCGCTCTAAAACAACTCCGTCCCCAGCTGCAGATTAATGCATGGAGGAACACGGCAGCGGTGATAGAGTGGTTCTCAAGAATACCAGAGAAAGAAAACTGCATATTCGTGTGCTTTGACATCGTAGATTTCTACCCCTCAATCTCCGAAGACCTCCTCCAGAGATTCGTCGAATTCGCCCGCCGCTACACGGACATCTCTCAGGAGGAGGGTGACATAATATTCCACGCCAGGCGATCTCTGCTGTTCGGCTTGGAGAGGCACTGGGTGAAGAGACACAACGAGCACTTTGACGTCACAATGGGGTGCTATGATGGGGCTGAGGTGTGTGAGCTTGTTGGAGCCTTCGCCCTCGCCATGATAGCGGACGTGTTCAACGGCCGAGACGTCGGGTTGTATCGCGACGACGGCCTGGCTGTGTTCAGGAATGTATCAGGACATGAAGCTGACCGAATAAGAAAGGAGATGAACAAAATATTCCAGAACCTCGGACTGAAGATAACGATACAGACAAACCTGAAGAGAGTCGACTTTCTGGACGTGACATTGGACCTGACCACCGGAAAGTACTGCCCTTACCGGAAACCGAACGACAAGCCGATGTACATCAACTGCCAGTCAAACCATCCACCTACAATCATCCAGAACCTACCTGCATCGATCAGCAGAAGACTAACAGATATTTCCAATGATGAAGACGTCTTCATAGATGCGACTCCGATCTACAGTGACGCGCTGAGGAAGAGTGGATACCGGGAGAACGTACAGTATTTTGACGAGCGTAAAACGGACGAGACAAAGAAGAAGAAGAAAAGGAATCGCCCTCGGAACATCATATGGTTCAACCCACCATTTAGCAAGAACGTCGCCACCAACGTTGGGCATCGCTTCCTCCAGCTAGTGGCCAAACACTTCCCCAAAGGCTCAAGCCTCAACAAAATCTTCAACCGGAACTCTGTAAAGGTTAGCTACAGTTGCATGCAGAATATGGCCACTATCATCAAGCAACACAATAACACGATTCTACAACCCAAGAAACAAGCTAACGGAGGTGACAACGATACCAGGACTTGTAACTTTCGGGCGAAAGACTCGTGTCCACTGGACGGAGCGTGTCTAACGGAGAGTATCGTATATAAGGCAAGAGTCACCGCAGGTATGGAGAAGAAGGAGTATACTGGATTAACAGCAACAACATTCAAACAACGCTACTATAACCACCAATCCTCATTCCGCCACAGACAACACGAGAAGGACACCTGCCTATCGCAGTACGTCTGGACCAAAAAGGATGAAGGGAAGGCATGTAGCATTCAATGGGCGGTACACCGCAGAGCAGCGGCCTACAGCAACAAAAGCAAAAGGTGCAACCTGTGCCTGGCAGAGAAATTGGCAATCGCGCAAGCACCCAAGCACCTCTCTCTCAACAAAAGGAGTGAGCTTGTGTCGAAGTGTCGCCATGAGAATAGGTACTACCTTCGGAACTTTAAACCAGCTACAGCCATCACCTAATTAAGTAAGAGACAACCAGCTCCAGTGGTTGTCACCTTTCACCACTGCTGTCATTCACGCTTTGCACTGCAGCTATTTACACTTTGCTTTGTGAGGATATAAACCAATACTGATCCAGATTTCCAATTACTGTTTTCTGATGATCGCTTAGTGCGTGAAACTCTGAGTAAAAACACTTCCTCTGTCCTCCTATTGTTTGAACCAGCTCTACCACTCGGTATTGAGCACTCTCTTGGACAGCCTGGAACCTCTCTGTTTTATATTTACAGTACATGAGTGTATCCCCTCAGCCATGCTTGTCGTCCAAACACAGGCAGCATGATGATTGTGTGACTTGCGGTCCAGCTTATTGCACACACATGTACAATGTACCAGGTACATGCGTGTGAGCTGAGTTACATTTTCCGGTTTTCTGGGTTTGCATTAAATTTGTATTGCATTTTCAAAAACAAAAAAAATTGTTCGTTTTTTTTTTTTTTTTTTGAACTCCGGCTGTGAAATACATGCGCGCAGGGGGACGCGAAACAGAGATAAAAAACGGTGTGGCCTAAGCGTGGTGTGTGTGTGTGTTGGTGCTCTGTGTCAAAATGCTTATTTGTGTGTTAATGTGCTTTTCCTTCCTGCGTGGGTACGGATGTGAGTGAGCCAGCTTTTTTTTACCATGCATGTGTTTGTGTGAAGTCGTCAAGAAAAGAAATCAGGAAGCAAGTTCTTATTATTGTTGTTTGCT